AAATTCTACTTCTAGATTCAAAGTGCTAATTCTATAATATTAAATAAAGATGTTATAAATTAAGAATTCCAAAACTTTAGATACTTCTCTTATAGATTATTACTATTTCTATTTTCTATTAGTAGTAGCAAATTGGTGACTTTTAATAGAGTCAAAATTGTAGTAATAATATCTCTGAGGGATCGATCAGGATCAGGTGCATTGATATAGTGTAATAAGTAATGACGAATGGAATGATTAATTGATTGATTAATTAAAAAATCATAGTAACATAAGGAAATATATGTAATTTTATGAGAAATGACGTAAATAATGTAATTCAAGAGTAAAAGTCCCAAAAAAATTAAATTAGTCTTTGTTCTAATTAATAAATCAATTTACATACTCTTACACATAGTACAGGAAACTTACTTGGGTACTAATTACTTAATTAATTCATTCTACATTGCACGATTTCACTAAGCTTATAAAAAAACTTTCTCGTTGAAAAAATCATGCATATAAAACAGATTTTATACGTTATATAAAATAAACAAATAGTATGTACTTATGAGATGTATTAATTATAAATTTGGTTTCCAAACTGCTTAATTTTTATAGTGGTTAATCGTATTGTGTATTTTGAGGAAAATTATTATAATGGCCAAAAAAACTAGTATAAAACGAAATCAACATACTTCTAAGAAAGCGTCTACAAGTCAAAAGACACCTAAAGCTTCTGGCATAAAAAAAGTGGTTTCAACTAAAAGTAGTAAGAATAGTGAAAGCCATGATCCTGAATACATTAATAATGAAGACTTTGATTCTTTCAATAAATTATCTTCGAACAACAATGTTGAGGACTCTCAATTACAGCATACTCACTCTCATTCTAGGTCACGACACTCTTATTCTCAATTACCAAAACATTCTCAATCACCAAGACATTCTCAATTACCAAGATATTCTCAATCACCAAGACGTTCTTGACTTTCTCGTTCTCAATCTCCAAGACGTTCTCAACATTTTCACTCTCAATCACCAAGACGTTCTCAACTTTCTCGTTCATGATTACCAAGATGTCATTCACAATTATCTAGACACTCCTATTCATATCATTCTCATTCTCAATCACCAAAGCGCACTTATTCTCAGCATTTTCATGTACAGCGCTCTCGTTCTCAATCACAAGTATTTCAATATCGATGTTTACAACCTCAATCAAATAACTGCAGCACTCTTTTATTCAATACTGATTATGAAGCAGCAGCATATGTTGCTGAATGACCAAAGCTTCTAAAAATTGCAAATCAGATAGCACAGTATGATGACCTTAGAAAGCCAGACAATGAAGAAAGAACTGATATCCTTACTCAATATGTATAATATATATATTTTTTTAACACGTGAATTGGCATACTATATGTTTTTTTGTTAAAGCAAAATTTATTTATTTTATATTTAATTACAAATTATATTAGGAATTAATAACATTTCAAGCATTTTTAAAATGCTTATTTTTTAGAACATGGTATCTTATGACAACAATAAGCCTTAGATGCATTAAATTATGTTTTCCTTCCAAAAAATTTTTATATAAAGATATTTCAGTCTTGAAAGGTGCTGCCAACACGGCATATCGGAGCTACAGAGATGCACTTCGAAATGGCGTCAAAAAAGTTGCAAAACATTTCATAGAGGATTTTAAGTAAGCAATTCATTTTGTATATTTATATTTTAAAATCTGATTTAATATGAAATAAAATCAGTTTCAAGTTCTAATTTCTGTTAATTAACTTGTAATTCATAGAATCAAATCTCTTTCTTATGTTAAAAAAGCCAATGTTGAGGCTTATCTTAATGAAGATGACTAGAGATTGTTTTTCAATTGTTTCTTTGAGGTAATTGATGAAGAAGCAATATTTACTTCTAAATTTAAGAAGGCGTAGTAGACATTTATGTCTCTTGAAAATGATAGAAGAAATATTGAAAGACAAACTTGTTAAAATCAAGGATTTAAATCATATTACTTTGAATTATAATATTTACGATGCTGGAGATACATTGAATCTCAACGATACAAACTTTAAAGTACTTTTAAAGAAAGAGCTAGGCAATAAAAAAAAGTGAATAAGGATTAGATGATAATTGCAATTTATAGATTGGATGATTTATTAACTTAGTCAATATAGATAACACAAATTATTTAAAGCTATTAATTAATAATATAATATGTATTTGTAATAAATATTTATTATAATAAATTTCTAAACTTATACTTCGTAATTAAGGTGTTTTTGTAAAAAAAAAGCTAGCAAAAGAATGACTTTCGCATTGTAAATTGTTGATTAGATAAACTTGATGCGGTAGTTCAACTTTATAAAAAAGGTTGTACAGTTATTGTAGACATTGTAAATAGAAAATTTTTGATTAAAAATTATCATACAAAAAACGTATAAAAAACACATTCATCCAATAAAAATCCTTCAAATGTTTGAAATGGAATCAATTTTCTAAACAAAAAATCAAATAATTTCAGAACTTTTCAAACAATTCCAAGAGATTTTTTTTTATAGGGCGAATGGATAAGCCACTCGAATTATTCAGATTACGGATAACCTTGGTTCTAACTTTAAATAAAATTAATTATTAATATATTTTATTTAAATAATTAGTAAATATATAATACTAGTAATTCGATTAAAAAATCTATTATACAAATTATAAAATCACATCATTTAAGAAGCAAATATACTAAAGCATATAATTACTTTCTAATAATTTAATAAAAGAACTATACATTATAATGATATAAATAACATAATTAAAATCAATAAAATTTAACCCAATTTATAATAAAGCTTATGCTATATTTATTAAGAATTATTATAAAACACACCTATATGTTTTTACACCTATTCTAAGTTTTGTATATAAAATTTTTGGCATAAATTTTTTTACATTCAGGAGGGTTTTTAAGGGCGTGGAACATTTTTACTTAGAATACCTCATACTGACTAATTAGCTAGTTTTTTGTAATAATGTATAACACCATAGGTGCGTTTTAGTAAAAGTCTTTATTAATATATATTTATTATTTTAAATGGATAAAAAGATTTCATATGTCCAAATAATTTTAGAGATAATGGACATGAATGTAGATTATCCAGATATACTGAATGAATATTCAGATTAACCAATAAAACGGATACAGATAATGGATAAACAGCTAGTTAATGAACATGAAAATTTCAATAATATAATAACTTCTGGATTCCATCGATTCTGGGATATGTATAATATTTACCAACTTTTTTTTCTAATTATTTAGCTTCTTACAATTAATTTATACAATTTAAAATATAATATCAAAAACTTAATATCTTCTTTTTGATTTGTTTTAGTTGTCTAATCTATTCAGTTACGCTATTCAGAGGTCTTATATAATATTCTCTTTTTTTTTGTGTGTTGTATCTGCACATGATAATCAATCATAAATGACAATTATCATAAGATACGATAGATAAAAAAAGGCTCTTAAATAATTTTTTAGATAATAAATACGTACTAGTTGTTGCATAGTTTCTGAAGACCCTGTGTACCTTGTAAAAGGTATGCAAATAGACAATGAATTGTTTAGTAAGTTAAGAGAAGTAAAAGAATATAGAACGATCGATTCATATAATCATGTGATTGATCAGAGTCATATGTACTGATAATTAAGGGGTCAGAGATTAATCGAGATCAGGTATGATAGGTACCTTGTGTATGAATATGACGCATTAGTTGGAAACAATGAAAAGTCTATTTAATTAATAACAAAGAAATAGTTAAAATATACTAGATATGTAATTGTTGAGTCGCATAAATATAATAATGAAAATAAAGAATTCAACAGTCTTTCGACTAGAAATTGAGTATTAAATCGAAGAGTTGTAATAAATACAAACGGAACGTTAGTGTCAAGTGTGTCATTATTAAAGGTGTGCGCGTCTCAAGCAGCCAAGTGAGAACATAAACCATATTTATTAATAAACCATCTGGGTTAGATAGCAGTTACTATGGTGATTGCTTAACTCTTTGATACTAGTTTAGAATATAAGTTACAATATATTTATGAAAAAACATTATCTTTTAGTTATAAGTGTTATTTATGCAATTTTATTAGTTGATTATTACATGTTAATATATTTAACCAATCATAAATTTATATGATCAATTACAAAAAAGTTAGTTTATAATCTTAATTGATTATCGTACATTAATTATTTATTGCTTAGTTAATAAAAAGCTTATTTAGTATAATATCATTGATCAACATATAAATTAATAGAAATCAGTAATTAAAATAGTCTTTTTTTCTTTCTCTTTCGTACAAGTAATAAAAAAATAAGAAGTGGTCGTTGAGGATATTACTTAACTTCTGATCTCTCTTACAATGACTTATATACACACTTTAAAACGTAAAGTTACTGTTCATTCGGGTAGAGTAAGACGTTCTTGCTTGTTAAGGAAAAAACAAGCTAAACTTGCATCAAACAGTTCTCAAGATGTTTCAGCAAATAGCAATCTTAAAGAAAGTAATGATAACTTTGAAGATGTTTTAACAAGCAACGATAACGATCTTGAAGAAAGAAATGAAGACATCTATTACTGTGAAGGCAATAATAAAGATGAAGATTTTGAAGATAACAATAGCCTTGAGTACAACAATACAGACGATTATCTCAAAGAAAGTAGTGATGACTTTGAAAGCATTACATTCTATAGCGACAGTCTTGAAAGCAGTAACAATGACTTTGAGGACAGTACCGATGATTGTGAAACTAGTAGTGATGATGTTTTAACCGATTATGATAATAATTATAAAAATAATAGTGACAATGTTTTAACCAACAATAATAATTTATCCATTCAAGAAATAGCTGATGGACCATCGTCCTTCGAGCCATTTAATAGCGAATATGGGCCATACTTTGCAAATTTTACCAAACAAATGTTTTTTTTGTGGGTTACCAAACACATGATATTTAAGTAACTTACTATTATTTTATCACAAAGCATTTTTATATTGTATAATGTCTATATTAATAAATTGATTTAAAATAATTTTAAGCCACAAAGGCAAATGAAGACCTGATAGTAATTATCAAACATCCACAGTTTCAATCTCTTCATGTACTAGAAAATATAAAATGCCTTAGATTACAAAGAATTAGAATGCCTCTACTTACTATAAAAAGTCACACTATTCCTATTGATGATCGAAAGACACCCTCTACATCAAAGCCAACCAAACTTGCTTATACTATTTCAATAAAAGAGCACCTTAATTGGATTTTGAATAATCCATAGCTGATAGCGAAGATGTATTTTGGTCGTGGTATTGAATGTCAAGAAAAATCAGAACTATAGCATGGCGATATCTGGCAGCGCTCTTTCTTGTATGGAGATGCTACCATTAATATAAATAATAGTAAGGCGCTTTTTAATAAATTTGATAACTGTCTGATTGGCTAATAAATTCAATTTAATTTTACATTATTTATACAGTTTGAAGTACTTTTTAGAAAAAATAAAACTTACGAAGAATAAAAAAAAAGTAATATATAAAAAGTTTTATTAGGGTTGTAAAACTCCATCATTAAAAATAAACTCAATCAATTTCGGTTTTAGAGAAGTTAGCATAATATATAACGACTTCTTAAAGATAGATTATTACTATGCTAACTTCTCTAAAACCAAAATTGATTGAGTTTATTTTTAATTGTGGAGTCCAAGTCGATAATGTCCTCTACTATTATTCACTCCAGAAATATTACCTGTATCAGCAGATTTTTTAAAACACACAAATGCTTTATGTTCATCCTTTTCAACTCCAATTCCATTAAGATAACAACATCCAACAAAAAATTTTTATATGTCTCTTTTTTGTTTATTCTTCATAGTTTTTTTTTTTTAAAAAGTATTTTAAACTGTATAAATAATATAAAATTTATTAGATGAAATTTCGAGTGCTAATATAAGTTTTATTAATATACTTAAAAATTTGTTTTAGTCGAATACACTGTTGGACAGTTTGTAGAGTTTATCTACATTAATAGTAATAGTCAATGTAAAAAGCAATTTGGAAGAATAGAAGCTATTGTTTCATTCTTGCCACATAATCGTCTATATAACCAAATACAAACTGCTCTTAAGATGTCAAGACTTTTAAGACATAATGAGTTAGAAATTTATTGTAATCAGGAGAGAAGTCGTAGAGGACACAAAGAGCTCTGGATGATCGAAGAAAATTATAAAATTATTTCACCCAGTTATGTCTTAAGACATATTTCAGTATGGATTGAAGATGTATCTCAGCCTGCTTCTTATGATTTTCGCATATTCGAAATTCTATACAAAGATGCTATTACCAAGCGAATTCAAATTTGACCAGTAAATTTACGGCACCATTATCCTTGTAAATATGTTTCTGTGCCAAACCAGCATATAATGCCCTTTCAAAATATGAAAGTATTCAAGTTTATGATTGACATTTATAATGATGACTTTGGTACTTTTTGTAATGTTTACCACTCATTAGGCGATATTTATATTCAAATAGCCTTTTAACCTAAGAAAACAATTAAAAAACCACTTTGTAGTTAGATTCATACTATTTGGGAGTCACCTTGATGATGTAATGTACCGTCTGCTTAAGGAACTTTATCAATTAGAAAAAGGTATCATGATGAAAATGAATAATGAACCAGTCTGGGTCATCGCTTCTATTGGACTAGTAACAGCTAACTTACCCCAGGGAAACAACCTAAGTGATACTAAAAAGCAAAGCACTCTTTATGGATGTCAAAGTTGTTTAGTTTCTAAAGATCAATTGACTAATACTATATTTGATATAATACGCCATGCACGTTTTTATCATATTACTAAAGAACACTTCATTAAATTGCAGGTGTGGATGACATTTTTTATACATATTTGTTTTTGTTTTTTTGTCAAAATTAATTCATTAGATCAACAGCTTTTTTTTAGCTTTACCTATTATTATTATCAATGTTTAAACCTAGTGATGTGCCATTATATGATACCCGAAAAATTTTAGTGTACAGTACGTACTGTATGTATAGTTCCTTTTCTGGCATCTGATTGGCTAGAACAAGTGATCAGCAAAAATTTTAGTGTACAGTATGTACAGTACATACCATATAGTACTGGGGTGTCACATCGACTATTTGATCAAAACTATGTCAGTTAACTATATAATTTATTATATTGCAGATTTTTTACATTACACAAATGCAAATCAATTTTAATTTATTATGTACTATACATACAATAAGGCTATTGCTATTACATTATACAATAAGACTATTTATGACCAAATAAATCTTCAAACAATTTATTAGCGCTTTCTTCATGATTACCATCGCTATTATTAAGATTTTCTTTAATTGAAATTGAATCATTTGTAAGTTTAGTTTGTTATTGACGTTTTTTAATTCTAAGCTCTGTTAAATCCAAAGAATTACAACTAATTTCAGTAAGTGGCAAACTTGCAAGCCTTAATTTTGATTGTTGAAGGTCACTTGTCATATTTGGATGGGTTTTAAGATCCCACTTATTGAACAAGCCTTCAACTTGTTGCTGGTGTACCAAAATGTACCAGATTCGATTTTTTACAAATTCATATATCTTTGGAAAATGAGTTAAAGGTCTTCGTTCTTGAATAAATTGGTGAAATTCACAACCAAATTCAGAATCAAATAATGCAGCTGATAGCCCGAAATCATTAAATTCAGCAGATTCAATATCTAACTTAATAAACTTTGCATAACACAATTCTCGCAATGATAGTACCGAGGACCAAGGTGTTTCTAAAATAACATGTGCAAAGCTTCGTGCAAATTCCCATCCAAATTTTCCACCTAATCTACAAATACTGAGAGGCAAATGTAGCCAGCAATTTAACCATTTTTGGTAAAGCTCTAATGCCTTTTGTGCATCATATTCCAAATCCGATATAAGCTTGGCAAGCTGATTATCATTTAATGAATTAAGACATTCAAGTAACTCTTCTCTAAAAAATAAATAAGGATCTTTAGCAATATTTCTAAGTTTTATGATGGTACAAGTTACAAAGTCAGGCATCAGGTGTGCACAACAACCAGAAGGAAGATTTATCAATAATAATTGTAATTCAGAGTTATAATCTATAAGAAATTTAGACATTGGGTAATAAAAATCTTTTCCAAAACGGACTAGTAATTTAACTTGTGTATTTAAAGTTGAATTATGAAGCCAGCTTTGAAATAACTCCCATTTTTTTATATATGATTTTGGAGTATTGTTTCTAGTTTTAAGATGAGATAGAAACCATTCTGTAAATTTTATATGAATGTCCCTTTGCTCTAAGTATTGCTCTGCATATTTTAACTCATAGAGCCACCTTGATCTAATAGGTTGCTGGTACTTTGTTAACTAATAGTCGAAGCGCTCTTTATAAAGTTTATAAATGTAATCAGATCGCATTCCCATCGGTTTATCCTTATCACTCTTGTCATAACTATTGTGAAGATCCCAAGCCAAATGTAAAAGATTTGCTGGAAGTTCTTTCTGCGAAAATCCTGTACTAGTTAGTTTACCAAATGCAGCCTCTTCGAAATTGTTCATTACAATATGTGCAATATAAAATGCACATGGAATTCGAAACAGGTTTGCATTACTTAAATGGTTAAATAATGAAATAGCGCCTCCAGCTTTGCCACTCATATAATTAGTATTATCTGAGGTACATATAATGCATTGCTGTATATTTAATTTAAATTGACTAAATATATCAAATATTGCTTGTACAACTGATTTTCCTGTGCAAGAATTTAAATCTTTCATTGCCAATACTTGAAAATCTGCCTTATTATCTTTGAAGTTCCAGAACATTACACACAGCACAAATATTTTATGTTGACCTCGGGTCAATTTATCTACTGCGATTCCAAAAGTGAAATATTCTAAACAACTGCTTTGATTAAACATCTTAGTCACATGAATTTTACTAATTTCCTTATTCCATCTAATAATGGATTGAGCTAAATTGATAATGATGAATCTTCTCCAATTAAAAAATCTATAAATGAATATGTAACTTGGATAGTACTTCGAAATGACATTTGATTAATTTGTGACACTTGTGTGGCTAAGTTTATAAAACGGTTTGTATATTGACACTTATTTTTCATAAGAATTGCTTGAATGCCTGCCTTCAAACTTCGAAAATCTGCAGGTAGTGGCTTTCGAGCTGCAGCACGTACTTTTGATATATGATGTCTTTTTTTGAGTTCATATTGTGACAATGTTCCTATTAATTGTCTAACTTTATGACTCTTTTTGGCATTTGAATGTTCTAATTAAATAACTCATTTTTGAAGTTCTTTATTTTTTTGAATTAATGAGTCTAAATTCTGACCCGCTTGATAGAGAGATGAAT